TCGTCCTTGGCTTCACGTAGCAATCGCTCTCCGCGCCGCACACGGATCTCATTCTCTTCCCGTTCCCTTGCCATCGCCCGTCGCAGCTCGCCTGTCTCGTCCTGCGCAGCCGCGATCGCCGTTTTGCCCGACAGGACTTCGGCTTTGAGCGTCAACACCTCTTTCCGCATCTCCGCCTCCGAATCGTCGCGCGCCTTGAGCGCACTCTTCGCTACGTTGAGCTCGGCTTGGAACGTCACCGCCTGCGTCTGGGCAGCCATCAGCTGAGTCTGCGCCGCATTCAGCTGCACGCTCGTGCTCGCCAACTGCGCCTGTGCGGTAATGAGCTCCGTCTGCAGCTCCGTCGACGCAGCAGACGCATTGCCGCCGCTGCCCCCGGCGAGCAAAGCCTTGCTCTCGATCAGCTCCGCGATGCGCTCGACGTCCAGCGTCCGCGCCGACTCCAGCGAGGCGAGGCGCTTGTTCATGTGCGTGATGACGTCCGGCGCAGCGACTGACGCAGACGCGCTGCGTTTCATGGTGGCATTGGTCGATGTCGACGGGCCGGATGTGGTCGCAAGGCGAGAGGGGAGCCCAGAGCCGATCCCTGAAACCGGCTTGCGCGTCGCGCCGGCGGCGGCGGGTGCACTAGCCCCACGCGCAGCCGTTGGTCGTGCTGCAGCAGGCGGGCGGGGACGCGTCAGTGGGCGTGGCATGGACACAGCGGTCGCCTTGGATGAGGGTTTACTAGAGGTGGATGTGGCTGCGTTGGGTGCGGTGCGGGAAGCCTGTAGTGGCTTTGGTCGGAAGCCGGTCCCGGTCGCCTTTTTCGCAGCGGGCTGGTCTTCGATCGTGTCGTCCTCCTCGGTGGCAGCGGCTTTGCGCTTGAGCGAGGGCGCGAATCCCTTATGATCGGGCGAGGACTGAGGTCGTGGAAGGCGGGACATGCTTGATTACTATGAACAGCGAGAGTGTAAGCTTGATAGCGGTTCTTGGCTTGTATTTAGAAGCGATATGGAATGGAAGACGTACTTGAGTGATACGGCACCGTAGCCCACTCACTCGGCGAAAGCCTTCTGTGGTAGATGCGTGACTGTTTGCGATCGAAAAGCGCGAGTGGATTACAAGTCGGTATTGGATTTGAGCGTGCGCGTGGCGATAGCCTTGACTACTGGACACGGAGCTTTGAGAATGTGGACGAAACCAGGTGAAAAGTCGCTTCTCACCTCGATGAGTGACGGGACGGACAGAGAAAGCCACGAAATCGTTTTCGTAAAGGCCAAGATACCTGCTTGAAGGTGGTGTCTTGGATTCGAGCAGCCCGAGCCAACGGGACGAGAGGCGGTCGAGGAGCGAAAGCAACTTGGCGGTCACGGTCACGAGACGTTCACGTGATCCTGCGTCAACAGAAGACCTTCACAGCCCCCTGGATATTTGAGTTTGATCTTGATCTCAATTCCCTGTCCTGTCACTTGCTCAATCCCAGCCGTGTCTGCAACATGTTCTTGGTATTTCGGACTTGTGAGCCGAAACCCATGTGTGACCTGTTGGCACGCTCACACGCGCAAAAATCCGTCTTCAGCCTCGGACTACATGTTCCAGCGCGTGCCTGAGCACAACCAGTAAATGGGTGGACGGAGAGACATCAGCAGTTGCAGGGCGAATTAGTCGATATTTATTCCACTGGGATCCATCCCATGTGAGCCTCTACTTGTTCAAACGATTGCTCACTGACAGGTGGATGGAAACGATCTAAACCGATGATAGCATACTTCGCGAAGCAGCAATCACCGCATCCTCGGAGTATGATATTTCCCCCGGAAAAAATACTACAAGAGGAGGGCCACACCCTGTTTGTCTCAACCACAGCTTGTTGACTCCCCACAATGCTTCACTCCACCTCCAGTCTCGTCAAGTCCTGTGTCGCTCTGCTTTGGCTTGCAGGCGCCATCGTTGCTGCCACCGTGAGCCCCCTGGGTCTTCGAGAGGAGCTAACTGTGCTGAAGAAGTGTTCAGCCTGGCCCCGCCCAGGCGGCGTCGCGGTCGCATGATCCTGTCCACTGGTCAATCACACCGCACACCGTGAAGCTTGTCCAAGTCACGACCCCGGTCGACTACGACACGGTCTCAACGCGACTATACTCGATGATCGGAACGGTCAACGGCAACGCGACCCTTTCCACAGCATCTTCGCTGACGGTGCTGGAAGAGAGAGTCGCTGCATCCGTCGGCTCGAGTGATTTGATGTCAGTCATGTCCAACGCCGGACAGTAAATGCTCCCTCCCAGCTCACGAGACTGCAGCCACTTCGCGGAATATAACCACGGTGGTTGGTTCCAGCTGTTCAACGCGAACACGACACCCCGCTTCAAGCTCTTCGTCATCGGCAACCCCCTCATCGCCGACACCATCGTCAAGTACGACATCCGCGCGTCGTACGGCGTCCCCGTCCGGGTTTTGGTTATGGAGAACGGGAATGGGACGAAGATATTCTATCAGCTTCCCTCCTCGGTGGCCAACATGATCGGGTCAGAGCCGCTGCAGACGGCCGCAGAGGGCCTGGACCAGACGTTTGCAGCGTTGGTTACTAACATAACCGTTGCTGCGTAGAAAGACTCGTTTCCAATCATGAATTAGCCGATTCGGAGTGCGAGAAAGCGTCCCAGGTTCATCTGGGTCGTGAGGAGGAACATCGCCGCGGAATTGAACGTTGAACTCCCATGACGGCACATGAGACTGATGCCGTCAACGAAGCACACCTTCACATAAATATTCCGCTTCCGCCTATTCTTAGCCACAGCCTTCCTCTTTTCGAAGCCCCCGCGTTTCGTGCCCTTCGGTGGAGGCTGATGGGGTGGATGCGCTACCATGGTGCAAGTCACCTATTTTTGCTGGTTGTGAACAGGGAATACAAGACAACGACCCGAGTGGACCCAGACTACTGACAATTTCGTTGGCCAAGCAAAGAAGTGTGCGTGGACATTGATCAAATTCATAGCACCTAAGATATATCCGAAAAATCAAAGCCGCTCAGCAGTGCATGAATCACTCGTCTACAGGCCCCGTCCCTGGCTTCCCCCAGCGCACTGATCGCTCACCGCATAACGACGTGCTGTTGTCCAAAAGTCCAGCCCAGTTCTCAGGCCAGCTGGCAGTACACACTTCTATCAGAATCCTACACTTCTGACGGTGTCCCGCCTGTGAAAGCGAATGGGTGGCTCTCCTGAAAACCTAGTTTCCACCAGTCTGGGCGAGAGTATTGTCTTGTTATCGCGGAAGTTCTCGGCCGAGACCTTGCGCCACCTGTTCACACTCACACACGTTCAGACAGGCGAGAGGGTACTGATCGTCATTCGGCGGACCGGAGCACGCTCCGACTAGCCAGCGGACGCGAGGAACTTGGCGAAACAACGCTACCTGACATTCTTGTCCGCCATTCTGCCCACTCTAAGTCCTTCTGTTGTGTGGCAAGTTGTCGGCTGACAGGCCTGTTGATAAGGATTCGCCTCAGCATCGTGGGATCTACCTACGTAGCTCTCGAATCACCGCCGGAATATGTTATCACCGCTGGAGCATACAAGGAGACCCTCGAGCGCCTTCTCTCGAATTTCAGCGTCTCCTTCCCATAGCATACCACCATGCTCAGTTCGATCTTCGGGCCCCTTGCTCTGCTCTGGCTGACGGGCGCCGTCTCGGCCTTCACCGTGCGCCATCTTCAATCCTCCTTTTCTGCACTGACCATTAGCTTTTTTTCAGCCGGAGAACTCGCAAGCTTCGTCGCGGTCGCACGATCCGGTGCACTGGTCGATTACTCCACACACTGTGAAGCTGGTTCAAGTCACCACCCCGGTCGACTACGACACCGTGTCAGCGCGGCTGTACTCGATCGTCGGGACGCTCGACGGCGACATCACGTTCACCACCGCACCGTCCCTCGCCGTGCTGCAGGAGAGAGTCGCCGCGGCGGTCGGCTCGAGCGGTCTGATGTGAGTCGAGCCGGCGTCGCTGACCCGGGTGTTTCCCGTAGCTGACGATCGCAGCCACTTTGCGGAATACAACCACGGCGGGTGGTTCCAGCTATTCAACGCGGACCCGACGCCCCGCTTCAAGCTCTTCGTCATCGGCAACCCGCTCGTCGCAGAGACCATCGTCAAGTTCGATCACCGCGTCTCGTACACCGTGCCCGTCCGAATCTTGGTCACGGAGAACGGAAACGGGACCAAAATTTTCTACCAGCTGCCGTCTTCGGCGGCGAATATGATTGGGTCAGAAGAGCTGCAGACGGCCGCGGAGGTTCTGGACCGGAAATTTGCGGCGGTGGTCACTAACATCACCACTGTTGGGTGAAACGGAAACGCCTTAGTACGATACTGATGAGGGCAGAAACATCTGAATGAGATTGGCCGAGGGCACAAAAAGGGTATTATTGGAGTGACAGCATGACTGAGGATCAGGAACATAAAGATGGTGTGGGAAAAGAGGTGGGATGGATCAAAAACTGCTCCGGAGAGACTCGAACTCTCGATCTTCTGATAGAAGGCATTTAACAGTCAGACGCCTTAACCAGCTGGGCCACGGAGCACGTGCCGCTGCCTCCACTTTAAGCATTATCATCCCACAAATGTTGCGGGGGTTGTCAAAGGTGGGATACCCTGTCGACATTGGGCCCTTATGTGGCTACCTCGGCCTCCTTGGCAGTCAGCAGCGGATCATCCTCCAATGCACCCACCCCCATCCAAGGCGTCACAACGCAGAAGGCCAGGGTTCTCCCGGGGCCTTGTGATCAGACAGTTCCGGGTATCTTTTCTCACGACTGGTGGTTCACGACTGGTAATCTTTGCTGCGGTTGCAATCAGGAGGCAGAGTCGGACGACGGAAACGATGTGGCAGAGAGAATGGTACTCTGGGCCCCCTGACGCGGGGCCGAAACATCTTTTCGCGTGGACTGACGGCACAGCCAAACAACGGGCTCATGAGCATGGGACCCTGCAGCAAGCTCTCCCTACGCTTCAAAGCCTCATGGAAACTGTCCCGTCAATGACTGTATCTCATCCAGAACATGTCGCCAAGTGTCAGACGCGTGTATCACAACAACTCATCTGCATCTTCAAGTCACCAGCGCCAGCCCACGTTACATGCAGGCGGCCGAGCTGTGGAACAGCGACGAAAGTAGAATGCTCGAGGGAATGTGATGCATTGAATGGATGAATCTACTGAGGAACAGGCAGCTCTACATCCTCGTCAGAGTCCAATTCCAGCCCGACCGTCAAGCGCGACACCAGGGCATACGAGCCGGCCGTGATGGTTATCTCCATGATTTGGGACGTATTGAAGTGCGACTTGACGGCATTGTAGACCTTGTCCGGGATGCGCACGTTGTCCGCCATCCAGTCCGAGAACGCCATGCTCGCCAGCTGCGCGTCCGAGAGCCCCGTGCGCCGCCCGTCGTTCCATGAGAACGTCTTCTGCGGCGCGAAGCGGACGAAAAGCAGCTGGTCGGTCGTCATGTTTTCGCTCCGGGCCACAGGCTCGTGCTGCAGCCACTGATAGGTGGCGGTATTGGCCACGGCGGTCCGGAGAATCTGGATGGGAATTGGATCGGCCAGTGTTTGTAAGTATGGAGAAACTTACCGGGAGCTCGCGGATGTTGCCGGGGATGGTCAAGTTCCTACGCACTACTTGGAAGAAGTCTGTCCAGGTATTGGCGACCAAAGGGTTATTCAGACTGTAACTTGTCAGACCGCCATTCCGAGTCCCGCAGCTGCGTGGCGGGGAGGAGAGGGGGGAAGGGGACGTACAGAGCACCATCGAGATCGAGGAGAACTCCTCCTGCACGAAAGCTGCGCATTTTGTCGGCGATCTGGGAGGCAATGGTCAGTCGAAGCAAGCCAGCGACAACGGAGAGGACCCGTACAGCATTGGTGCCCGGCGGAGGGAAGATGTAAGGGACACGAGCAGGCAATTGGTTGTCTCTCTTGTCAGCGGTCACCGGACCAGCGAAAGCGAGCAGAGCGCAGAGTGCACCGGTGAAGAGGGTGAACTTCATGTCGAGAGGTAAGGATGCTCCTGGAGAGCCTCACAAGCACAGCGGTCTATGTAGATATCAGCTCGATACACATTGACAGTGACATCCTGATTACCGGCGCTGCGGAGTTGCGCGTGTAGGAGGAGAGAGACCATGCAGTGTCTCGATACATCTGTCGCCCCAGTGCTATCGCCCCAGTGCTCGTATCTCGGGTCTGACAACGTCATTCGAAGACAGGCGCTGGATTCCTCCACGGAAGTTCTGTGTTTCTATAAGGCACCACAATGTGTGTATCGCAGCAAGCGCTTTCGGCCCGAGAATAACCACAGATCCCTGAGACTGGCGCGCGCCGTTCACTATGGTGAAGCACGATGCGAGTCCATGTGATGATGCCTGCGCCAACGAAGAGACCGCGCTGTACCATGGAGAGAGCCATCACACTTGCGTTAAGAAACAACACCCTTGCTTGGAAACAAGACGGATTGCATTTGCATAGTCGATGGGGTGAAAAGGCATCATGTAGCATGGTAAAAGCTTGGACGGATGGACGGATTCCGCCGTTTCCGGATTCGGCAATCACCAGCGGCGACACTGCTCATACCGTTACTTACCATGTGCATGAAGCTGATAACTCGTCTCAATTTCACGGGGAGTAAACTGGACTGACCCATGCGCCTGAACCATTTCGCGGGCACCCTATCGACGCGGGAGGGACTGCATGTCATCACACGTGAATGAATGCATTGGTACGTTCTCGACCTAATTCTAGCTGAGATTTGACTACATTATCACTCAAGAGCTGTTCTCGGGACTCACTGTATCTGCTCCTGGATCCACTCATGCGAAGCCGCTCGGTCTCACAATCAACACATGGCCGTCATGATCACGGTCCGCGCGCATCAGGTCCGCCCCGGTCGTGCACATAGCACGAGCGTGTTTTACGAAGCCCAGTACCCCATCTTCCCCAGCATCGTCATGCCGGCTGTGGCGATAGAACTGGCTGGCCTCCCAAAGGGTGATGCGGTGGAGGATGCGAGGGTGTGCGGACGTTTCTTGAGCAAGACATTCGCGTTCAGCCTGGGGCTCCCTCTCATAAGTCTCAAGACACGAACACGGAATTTGAATTGGACGTTGGTCTTTGATCTGTTCCACGCGCGCCACTGATTCTGGAGGAAGGTGAGTCTAGTAAATAGAACAGCCGGCACGAACTGAGGAGTCACAGCACCACTGTCAGCCAGCATCGCGCTCGCCGCTGATTGAACGCACGCACCTTTGATTCGCAGGGCTCGACACCGTGAGCTGACGGAAGTCAAATCCCGGTACCCAAGTGATTCGCCAGGAGAAGGACCGCTGGTTTCTCGTTACTGGGGCGTGATTCACACCATGTGAGAACTTGCCTCCACGCGGCATCGCGCTTGCTGCTGCTGAGCTCCAAAGGCACTGTTTCGGCGTGGCTGCTGTTCTCCCGGCTGCGCTGCTCTGTGAGACGGGACACGCAAATAGCTGCCGCAGGTTGGCGGTCCTCGTAATTCCAGCGATCCTAGTCGCCAGTTTCCTGTTGTCTGGTATTCATTGTCCTCCCTTCGTCAAGCGATCAGGCTCAATCTGTCTCAACATTTGACCTGCGTCTCCCACGAGCTCCGATCCGACTAGTTTCCGGTCGTAGCACAATAGCATCCGACACGCCCTTCTTCGAGTACCCTGACAGTCTCTCTGTCTCAGCGCCGGATAGCAGCATGTCGGCGCTTCGATTGCAAGCCATCGCGAACGAGTTGCTCTGGTCATACTGTTGGAGATAGGGAGCTACTCTGCCCAGGGATGAGTTAGAGAACAGTGCTAGCTGCGCTGGCTCGTGTGGCCGCTCGACATCACCGTTCTCGAATACCCGGGAGCTCTGATGGGCTCGACAGCTCAGACGATTCGTGCCCGGCGCGGCCTCCGATCGCCGGTTGTGGGGGTATGGAAGAGTGCGCAGCAGGAGTGACTGTTGCCTGTCGTGGAGAGAGAAGAAAGGATGTATCGAGTAACTGGCGTAACGGCTACAAAGCATCGTGAAACCACGAAATGCGCGCATGCAACGCTGGGCGAGCATCTACCCGGGATTGTTCCCACTGACCCGGGATCACACATCTCACTACTCCAGGGCCATCGGAATCGGCGATGCAGAATCCCCGCGTCTAGGTCCACCGACTACGAAAGAATTAGAGTGAATCTGTCGTTCATTCCGGGAATCATGGATTCCGTGAGAAGAATATCGGCCATCGCTGCTCTGTCTGATTTTGCTCCTCAAGCAAGGACACTCGGATTGCTTCCTACCTATGCTGCACCTGTTCTTCTCCGGTACAAACTCGCACTGCGGATTACATGGCCTTCCTCGTCCGGTCGCCGCCAAAAATCGCCTCACCTCGGCGATCCATGCCCGGAGATCCCATCGACATCAACCCCAGAGCCACCAGTTATTGAAGCCTCCGCACGGGTATTCGGCCTCAGTATCTCAGTGATCTGCGCCGATATTCGAAAGACCTCCTTTCTCTTGGGGACGCTCCTGCGTCTGAAATTTGTCTCGCTCGATGGATTTCGACAGTCGATGGATGGTGTTTCCAGCGTAATAAACTGGGTAGACCCAATAGACAACGTTGTGAGATCCAGGTGCGTGCTTCAGCGAATTCACTCGCCGCGGGTAGTGGGGAGGGTGTCTCCACTGTCGCACACTTGTCGCCCGGGTCAAGGAGCCAACGAGGGGGAATGAAACATTGATGTAAACCCATGTTACAAACCGCCAATCGCGGTGAGTTTGGACCCGTATCTCGATCGGCCTCGACTAAGGTTCCCGTCCAGATACGAATTCGCTAATCTGAAGAATCGGATTGGCCATTTTGAGAAGCTTGTTGATCTAGGTCCACATGTAAAGATTTTGTTGGAGCACACTTCGCGCCAACGTGGTCGTGCCGCCATACGAAATCCGGTGTACTCGGTCGCGGATAGCTACCCGACCATCACGTACGACCTATATTTCAATGAGAGGCAATCGGGCAGTCCGCTGAAATGAAACACTCGTGCACGCTTCCAGGACTCGATATGCATAGGGACCGATCGATTTGTGATCCACCTGCAACTTCGTCAGATTTTTCGGAAAAGTATTATTTAGCTGATGAAATTGTGGCCGACTTGTAGGACACTGATCTAATTTTGCACGAAAAGAAACTCATCTCTCCTAAAAATCATCAAATCCTGACAAGTGCCAACAAGGGCACTGCACGACGGCGTACAAAGGTCGTTGCTGCTGATCAAAACTAAGCTTCGGTCTCTGTGTCCTGTGTTAGACAAACGTCTGGCTCTAGATATGCACGTAGTGGACAGAATGATTGATTAGTTATTTTTTGATTTGAAATGGGCTGGTGTGACTCACTGAGGTAGCCCTAGAACTGTAGAGCAATCTTTGAAGACACATGTGGCTTGCATGATATTCACAAAAATGTACAGGATCTGCAAGCATGTTCTGGTCACCCCATTACTTCTCTGCATATGGGGTTCAGCTATTGTGAGCAACAGTCAACTTGTACTTGCTCTGTGCTTACCACATTCACAGGTCAGCAAGATGGAGGGTGTGACCCCAAAGAATCCACCTCCTTACAAAGTCGAGAAGGCCTTCTGGCCTCTTGGACCCAATGAGTCAACATCCAATGAGTCCGCTACCCCCAATTATGAGATCTCTCTCCTGGCCTCCTGCTGTTTGAAAGCTGCAGCCAACAAGACCTCGTCTCCCTCTGTCACCATTAACAACAACTTCACGGCCTTTGCCAGCCTCCGCCAACCCCGTGTGTCAAATGGACAAATCACAAGCACATTTTGTGTTTCCCTAGCACTTGCCTCTCCTGCCCTAATTCACCCTATCTCACCCAAATCAGTCTGCATGATGTTTGATGCATTCTGCCAAGCTTTCTGCCTTGCCCCTGCCATTTTTGAGAGCCTGCACAAGATTAGCATTGACGGCCTGCACATCCTTGCACATCTCACCAACACTGATTTGAATTGGTATCTCCCCTTGGTCTCCAGCCGCAGTTCCACTATGCAGTCAGAGTGTGAAAAGGGCAAGCTGTCAGCTGATGGTTGAAGACACTTACAGGCCTCTTGGTTACATTGATATTGTTGCTGTGTTCTGTTGCTTTCCTCATTGCATATTCCATATCCAATTGTCATGTATTCTAGTCTGTCTCTCGATCACAATCTGTATTCTAGTGTTACAACAATGACTGTAGTGTCCAATTACTGTCTGATTAGCAAGGAAAGGAGAACAAGACACAGTAATCTAGAATGCCAGAAGAACCCCCAGGTCATCTCTGGAGTAAGAATGGTCCATGCATGATACAATTTGAAGTAAGATTGTGCAACAGAAAAATGTGAAATCCCAATGCATTGGAGAAAGGCTTTCATGGTAGACCCGGCCTGTTCAATAGGATTCAGATGGGGAGCGCAAGGTGGCAGGTATTCAATGCAGCAGCCTGTTAGAGGACAAGAAGATCCAAAGATCAATACAGCACAGACCAATGGGGACAGACAAACTTACCATGTGCTTCAACAAGCTCTTGGGTGTCTTCAGAATGACAAATCCTTGCATTGTCAAGGATAAGGACACTGGCCTGGCCTGGATATGGATTCATGACTGGGAGCTTGCATTCAAGTCAGCAAATGGGACTCTGAGCACATAGCAGCACAGGAACATACCAGGTCATTCTCTAGGAAATCATAGAACGTGTCATGGTCAGAAGACCCCTTGATTGCACATGCTGCAATGATGCCCTGGTTCAAAGCCATGCCTCCAATCACTGTGTATTGTTGCTTTTACACAACCTCCAATGGGGGCATGACCAAAAAGTCTCACATATGTTTGGTTGTCTTCTGACATCTCATCCACACCAGATAGTTGACCAGATAATCTGCAATCCTGGCCAGAAAATCTCCCTCCAACACTGGATCCCTCTTGAAGGCTATACACTGATAGGCTGGCTACCAGATGTGTCCTGCACCAACTCTATAAGAGTGTATTTTTACGCTTTTACAGAGTTTACTCTTTGAAGCACTTGGTGTATCATGTTGCAGGTGCCAGTGTCATGTTCAGTAGGACTTAGGGGTTTGCTGCCAAGTCAATGACTGTGAATAGTGTCAACAATGGCAAGGCATTCAGACCACTACTGTGAAATTGGCTTTATAAGTCTATACCAGGCTCACAGCTAGTAGCAACAGACACATAGGTTGCAGCAACTCTTCAAAAGGGTTACTCTTTATATAAAGAACCCATGCCAAAGGGCTTAGCAGTGCGTGACGTGCTCAATGAAACAACTACCACTGAAAAGGACAGGACCTAGGCATATAGGCCAGGATGTCCAATCCAAAACTGCCCATTTTTGCCAGGTCC